CAGCTCTAGCTCGGTTGGTTGTAGTCCGACTCCAACCTACGTCCAGCCCTCTACCAAGACCCCATTAGCAGGCCTAGCTCTGTCCCTCTCCCCGCCAGTTTAAAAATTATAAACTCTCTTTCTTTTCTTTTTCTTTCAAACAACTGAACAAATGCTTTGGATTGGGACGGGAATTCAAGCTCAAGAGCGGGTTCACATATTGTACAGTGTAAAATACTTGGGGTCAGAAAACCAATAGCAATCTGCCACACCGAAGCCCGAGCCCCAACCCCCCCTTGGTTGGTTCATGGTTGTGTTTTGCACCACCACCACCGCTCCGCTTGTAATAAGCCATTGTGATAAGAGCTTTCTTTTCGCTTTAGTCCAGAGCGGCGGGCTCCAGACTGTTTAAGAGTTGACAGTCGGAATCTCCATGGTGAAGGGGGCGCTAGGGGCACCGGTCGCCCACTGAAAAGTAGCCGGAAAATGATGCAACAGCAAAATAACAGGAGGGGAGGCAAGATGTTGTAGTTCTTTACCTGTCTCCGACGAGTTTATACATCCTATAGATGAGATCTTCTTCTTGTTCCGTCATGTTTATGAATTCCCATTCAATGCTACTGACCTCTGTCGTGAACAATCAAGAAAGAAAGAGAAAGAGAAAGAGAAAGTGAAGAGGAAAACACCCATTAAAGAAAGGAAAAACTGATTGACAAGCCTAGAGAAGGCAATAATAGCGAGGAATAAACAACTAACCTTCAGAGTCGTTGTGGATGGTCTTGGCTTGCTTCCGGCGACGTTTGTCCATGGTTTCGCTTAATAGACAAGGAAGGATTATTCAGACTTGAGAGAGAGAGAGAGAGAGAGAGAGAGAATGAGAAAGAAATCCAAAAGGCAAAATTTGAAGGCGCGTAACGGAGGGTTGAGATCAACAGTTTTGTCAAATTGGGAAAACGGTGATGTTATTTTGTTTTGAGAGCAACGGTTGAGAAAGTATGGAACGACCGGTGCTACCAAACAGGCGCTTAAAATGTGTTGACGAGTAGTTGTCGTCATTAAATCTTTGTATCTTTGTATTTGGTCTCTAATTGTTCTGTTTGTCCACTGACTAATATCTGCACTCTTTTTAATCCAAACATACCCACAGAGGTTATGATTTTCTATTAAAAAAATAAATATCACAACTATTAGGATTATCCGACTCTACAAAGGATCGGACATCGGAGTATCATAAAGGTACTGGTGGGGTTAGGACGGGGGTTGTTGATTGGTCAAAACTCTTCCGTATCATACTTTTCGGCATCCTAGATTTACACCATAATATCGGACTATTGGATAGTGCTACCCCGAGATTTGTTCAGTCCAAATATTTCACAAGAAATTAAAAGAAAAAATCCATTTATACCGGTAAACCGGTTGTTTTAGATTTTTTTTAACCTTTTTCTCTCTTTATTGAAGTCGGATTAAATCACAAATCCACTCGGAATCTGCTGCTCGTACCGCTGTGTGTGTAGACAGTTACGTGTCTAATTCCTTACATCAGGGGGAGATACGGGATTAGAAAATCTGTCCGGATTCAATCCCGGCAGCACCAAGTCCTCATTTTGAACAAAATTCTTATTGACTGAATATTTGTTAAGGCTCAGTAAAAAATAAAAATGCAAATATGTACAGCGTAAATACCTACAAAATGATATAAAATATAAGGTTTTACAATCTACATAATATTTGCATTTGTACTCCTTTCAAACTCAACCTAATGAATTAAAACCAGATGCATGTTGGAACCCATCCCAATTATGAGTGAAGAAGAAAAACCGAGAAATCGAAATATCGAATTGATGAGATTGAATTGAAATTTTCGATCAATCGAATTAATGGATATATATATATTTATAATATATTATTTATTATATATAATATAATATTTATATGTTTTTTTAATTTTATTATATATTTATTTATAATATATTTTATAAGAATAAAAAATTAAACCGATAATTAATCTAACCAATCAACTTTAATTGCTAGTTTTCCAAAAACCGATACTACTGGTTTGATTTGGAATTTAAGCCCAACCCCTAATCCCAATCGAATCCATTTACAGCCCTATCCCCAATATAAAACATATTTATATGGTTTTGTAAATGCAACCATTATCATATCAATTTGGATAAAAAGGAAATTCTTGGAAAAATTACATGTAGGTAGTCTGTACTTTGGGGCAAGGTTTTTAAAACTGGACTGGATCGGATGGTTGGACCGAAAAACTGGGAACCGATCAGGTGATCCGTTCTGATTTTTCTCAAAACCGGATTTTCCATAAAAACCGTTGCTTTTGGTCAACAATCCGCTGACCTAGGCGGTTAATCGTTCGAACGATTTTGTTTGGTTTTTATTTTTTTAATTTTTTTTGTCAAAACGGGCTGATTGTTCAATTCGAACGGTCGAATCGTTCGACCTGATAACCGGAGCCCTGACTGGTCGGGTCAGTTTTAAAAACCATGCTTTGGGGTAAGTGTGACAAGACAATCAACTCAATTTCAGTAATCTTAACTGAGGTTGTGGTGAATGATAAAATTACCAAATTATCCATTTTAAATTTATTTTGTATAGTCTTAAAAATGAATTTGTTGAACTGATTTGGGAGAATCGCCAAATTGTAATGCAAGGTGAATCTAATAGAACTCGAAAGTCGAAACAATCTCTTGTGAACGGTTTCATAAAAATAATTTTAGGGTTTATAAATATTTCAAGGCACAAATGACATCACATTTTGTGAATAATTGACGGAACGATACAACTTGACTTAATCGTAGATTTTTTAAGGTTTAGAATACTTGGTTGTGGCATTTAAAAGTTGATGTCCTTAAGGCTGCGTTTGGTTGGAGTACAAATATAAGTATGTATGATATAAATATATAAAATAATATAAAATATATAAATATATACAAAATATAAGGCTTTGCACTGTATATATTGTATATATTTGTATTTGTACTTCTACCAAACTGAGCCACTAACCCAAAATATATGGTATTTATCAATAATTTTTCTAAAGTTCTTCAAAAGTTAATATCCCCCACCCTCACTCGGGCCGTTGTGTACCGATGGAGCAAAATATATCTCCTACCTGAAAAACCTGAAAAAAAACGTGTATATATGGATATATATATAAGTCACTAGTTCATGGATCATTGACCATGATTTTATAAGCTAATAATAGAGGTTGCAAATGGGTGGATTGGGTTCGGTGGGGTAAGGGTTGAATAGCAACCCACCCAATCCATCAATCCATAGGACTGTAATTGGGTCGGACTCCGTAAAGGTATATCCGATTCAACCCGTTAAGAAAATTTGATTGATCCAACCTTAATCCATCCATATTGATCCACTTGATCCATTCATATTGACCCTTAACCACCCTCATCCATACTAATTCACCTATCTTCACCTATAAATACAAAAATGGGTCGTGACAGCCTATATACCTGAAATAATAATTTTTAAGAGGAACATCTCTCTCTCAAGGTTATTACATAGCATAAATGGGTTGGGTCGACCCCATATGCCTGAAAATAACAAAATTTTGAGAGAAACATCTCTCAAGACTGTCACGTGGCAGAAATGGGTCAAGGCAACTTATATACCTGAAAATAACGATTTTTGAGAGAATAATCTTTCTCAAGGATGCTACGTGAAAGAACCGGGCCGGGTCAACCCATATACCCAAAAAAATATATATATATTTTTGATAAAATCATCTCTCTTTAAGATTGCCACGTGACAAAAACGGGTTGGGTTAACCCATGTATCCAAAAAAAAAGCGTTTTTAAGAGAATCATCCCTCTCATGACTGCCACAGAACAAAAACAGGTTAGGTCAACCTGTATACCCCAATATGCAAAAATCGCAGAAAATTCAGAAATATACAAAAAAAATATCAGAAAATTACGAAAAATACAAAAGAAAGTTAATAAAATCTATTTTATTTCACTATTAATTGCAAAATGTAATGTGGCATGGTGGTTTGGATTTGTAATGAGATGTGAATGCGCTAAGAGGCTTGAGTTCAAGTCATGTTAATTGATGTATTTTTTATATTTGAGAGTATCTTAACTTTGACACAACCCATCCTGACCCTAATGGCTACTTTCAACCCAACCCACTCTAATCCTAATGGGTTACTCGATTCATATTGACCTGCCAATAGAATGGGTGGGTATGGGTGGATGGGTCACATGGGTTGGGGTTGGTCAAGATTGTCAGCCTTAGCTAATTATGATAGTGCTGCAAATGAATCCGATATTGGTCTTTTACCAATATTTGATTCATATATTCTCTTACCGAGCATCACCCCAACACTCATGGTTGTGTACTTATGGAGCAAAATATATCTCCTACCTAAAAGAAGTACCATATATCATATATATGGTTGATACTTGCACACATGCATAGTACATATTCTTACATTAGTTATTAAAAAAACATAAACATTACTTTTCTAGTACTTCAACTCATTGGTCATTAGTATTGTTTTTAAATCTGGCCTAGAGGTCGAACCCATTTACATTTTGTCTGGACAGGCCATTGGTTCATGGAACATTGACCAAGTCAATGATCTTAGAGGCTAATTACAATAGGGTTGCAATCAATCATATTGATATGTGATTCCATTTGGCTATGCTAGATTTAAATATCATCCACATATAATTGAACGAATCGAATCAAATTCTAAAACTTGATTCGAATAATAAGTAGATCAAATTCAAAATTTAGTTGATTTGATTTGCTAAAATCTGATACAATTCAATTATATATTATATTACTTTTATATTATATTTGTGTAAAGGCACATGTTATGCACATATGCAAGTAGAGGATAAAGATATAAGTTAAGACATTTACAATCAAATTTAACTCTTATGACTTGTACCAAACCAAGGCAAATATCCACTTTATGATAGTGGGGATATGTTTTTATGTATAAACATTTATACCCCAATATGCTTTTATGTTTCTATATCAAGAATAATGCAATTTCAATTTAAAATTGGAGTTAAAGAGCACTCAACCAAATATCTATACTACTTCAAAAAGTATGAATAGCCTCAAGAATATTTCTAGAATTTTCTGAGGACAAAATTTACCCCTCTATATTTAAATTTATTGATAAAAAATGAGGGCAAATAGGGTAGTTGGTTATTGATATTAAATGAGTTGAAAGGAGGTAATTTTAAGATATTCAATGCATTCAATTCTCTCTCCTTAAATCCAACATTTAAGGTATTAATTTGCATTCACCTTCATTAAATCATATATTTAAGGCTTTTTTTTTTATTTTGTCTCATCATTAAATTCTATAATTAAATTCATACATAATAAATTAATAATTTAAATAATATAAAAACTTATACTTTTAATATCTATCTGGAAAAAAAAATAGTGTTTTCATCTAGGTGGTGGTAAGAAATTAAACCATTTGGGTCAAATGGGCCAATCCATGTTGCCACAATCATATATTTAACATATTAAACAATAATCAGTATGACAAACAATATTTTTAAAAATCGACCCGGAGGCCAACCCACTTTTACCTTTGAATCGCATGTCATCGGTTCGACTATCAAGGTCAAATGAGTCAAACCGCTCTACGTCAATCCTATATTTGTGTGTATGTAAAAATACATATTTTATCAATAAATAATATAATAATGTTTTACATATATTATAGTTATGTTTTACATATATTTATAATTATTTTTTACAAATATTACATATAATATATGCATTATGTTAGATTTTTTTTTATGTTTTTTATTTTTTATTTATAAAAATATTAAAATTTCAATTTGGGGCCAAAAAAGGGGTTTTTCGCGAAAATAGCAAGGCAAGGCACCTAAGGCTCTTGGAACGTATAGATCTTGAAAAGTTACTCAAAAAAAAAAAAAAGATAACCCCAATTAGACAC